CAGGTGCTTACCTATTCTTTAGCAATCATTTGGAGGAAGTAAATCACATCCAGAAAACCAATCTTAAAAATTATAGAAAATATTATTGGGAAATTTTCCCTTTGAAAGAAAGTAATTCAATCAAGAATTTAGTTGGAATATAGTCCATTTTGTTTCTTTGGCAAGTCTTATAAGTAATACTTCTCATATTTTTCAATTTTCTGTTTGATATATGGTCTATATATCATCCCTTAATAGCAACATTGCACTTCCATCTCATTTTGATGGATCGATTAAAGTTGAGCTAGCTGCTGGATATTCATTGGAGAAATATCACTGGAGTCTCCATCCATCAGACGTTTTGCTATGATGACATTAGCAGCATCAGAAGGATGGTATGGATCCCAGAACACAAACTTGGATCTGTCAGGACAGACCTTTGATGATGGACCACATGGAACCAGGCCACCATATCTCCCTCCCATATAGCAACATGCAGAATTTGCGTTCTCAAAACCTGTACAGACATAGACAACATGAGAACTCATTCCAGAATTTGTCCTGAAAATGAATAAGTTGGCAGCATTCATACCGTATAATATGTAACTCTGTAAGATGTCATCTACTATGTGGTAAACATCTGCATAGACCAAAACGGATCCCTCTAGACTTGTCCTAAGCTCATTAACCAGGATTTTCAACTTGGAGTTGAATAATTGAGCCAGCTGATTTGCAGAACTAACACAGTTTTCCCCTGCATCTGGGTTTAGATCTCTCTCATATGGTATGCACCCAATTGGACCGACATTTGTTACAACCATCTTCCTAGCTCCCAAACTGTAAAGTCTCTGCAGACATTCAGACATTCTTTTTCTTAGACATGTCTTTTATACTTTAATTAACAGAGTTGTAATGGAACTTACAGTGAGCTGTTGTCTTAATCTTGTAACCATGGTGACAACAAACTGTTCTGGAGAAACCAGATTCCGTTCAGCTGCTGAGAGGACTGGTGTCAAGTAGTTGTTAATAAAATCATTTGAGCCAACTGTAACCGAGAACAAAGAACTTTCAAGCAACTCTATGGCTGCAGGAGCACCTATGTTGTAGATTATGTCTTCTCTGGTGTTTGCAAAGTTATCTATCTGTGCATCCAGGTTGATTCGACCAACCTGATCGATGATTGAATACATATTACTCATTTATTCTTGAAAATACAACAATCATGAGATGGAAGCATGTTGTGGAAGCTCAATTTTTATTCATTGGGTAGGAAATCTTACAAAGACCTCCCCAGTTTTGTTAAGAATTCCACCTCCACCAGAAGCATAGTTGACGCCCTGAAGAACCACAGGTCCTTTTGTGGTAGGGGCCAAGTAAGGAGGAGGAAAACTTTTAAAACCCAATTCCTGACCTGCTGAGTCAAAACAGTAGTTACGTTATCACAAAAACAGAACTTGTTCTAGCAAAATTTGAATCAAGCATATAGAAACAGGAAGTACAGTAACTCGCCTATGATGTCTACTATTGTTCTTCCGTTAGTGAATCTTCCTGTTGGTCCTCCGAGATCAATCCCATTTGGGATGTAATTAGCCTTGGAGAGTGACGTGATGTAGTTGTTATTACCTGCATCAACTAAAGAGTCTCCGAAAACAAAAGCAGCAGGAATCTTGCTTGCCAAGCAGAATTTGAACAAAAGCATGACTGTCAATACTTGGCATAGAATCTTAATAATGTTCTTTCTGTTTGAGAGAGTATCCATTGTATGAAAGACTGAAAATTCTATGTAGGTCCCCTTTTCTTTAAGAAAAGTCATGAAATGCTATGTAAGACTCTACTGATGCAGAAGGAAATAGAATAAAATTTATCATGCAAGGCATAGTAAAAATGAACCAGGATAAGAAACACAAAATCAACAGGAGAATGGATCTCAGGAACATGAACCAGATAGAAGATGAAGTGATGAATTCAGAAGGGAAGAGCACCCTTTTTATGGATGAACAAGCGTGCAAGAAGTCAATGGCGTGGTGGACAGAATTGAATGAAAGAAGTGGGCCCTCAGCAGCAGCTCGTGACATAAAATCTGTCCTTCAATAGAAAAATGAAGTAGCAAAATCTTAAATCACAGTAAATTGTCTAAATTTTCACAAGTACTGTTGACCGATGAACTGGTGTTTTCCTAGCAAGTACGTGTGAATTAATTATCCCAGCCACCAAACTGCTCAAATTTCAAACCTAATGGAGCATCATCACATTATCACATGTCTGCGATTTTAATGCTGTCACTTTAAATGGTAAGTATTCATTTATTATCACTGCAGAAGCTACCATAAAAAATGTGATAAAAAAAAATAAAGAGAAGAAAATTTTAAAGATATATGAAAAAAAAATTTTTTTTCTTAATTTCATTAAATATATAATGTGCTTATTTATAAGTCTCTATAAAATAATATTCTATGGTATAAAATCAATTAACTTAATTATATCAATCAATTATAATGTGAATTCAATCAACATAATTATAATATGAATAGTCTGTAACAAAGTGGTGATGAGAAAACCAGCTTGAGTTTGAAAAAAAGAATGTGAAAACGTTAAAAAAAGTGAGTTTTTGATGCAAAGATATGTATACTAAATATGCAAATCGGTATAGTTAATGTCGTTGGAGGAGAAGGAGGAATATAAGATCTAGGCAACAGCAATGTTAAAAGTTCAATTGAGAGAAACCAAGAGCAAAATTAGTGACAAGAAATCAAGAGCAAAATCAATGGCAATTGGATGCGAGAAGGTTGGAGCAATATTGACCGTGGGAGTAACATGTATAAACCCAACTGCAAATAAGTCCAAAAAAGAAAGCAAAGATGATGATGATCGGCACCCCCTAAAGCAAAACAGCAACTCACAAAGAAGATGAACAATAATAGTAAAAAAATCCTTAGGGTTATGATATCATGATAAAAAAAAATAAAAAGAAAAAAAATATAAAGATATATAAAGAAAGAAACTATTTCTTTCTTAATTTCACTGAATATACAAGATGCTTATTTATAAGTCTGTATAAAAGAATATTTTATAGTGCAAAATCAATTAATCTAATTATATTAATCAATTATAATTTGAACCCAATTAATATAATTATAATATAAATATTTTGTAACAAAATGATTTCTTGAAATATGAGTAAGTATGAATTGAGAAGGTGAAGGTTATCCCTTATTATATTGTTCATGATTGAATCTACAAAAAATAAATAAATAAAGTGTGTTGAGGCAGCCTAGGATGGAATTTAATGTCCAATATTATTTCTTTATCTAACCAACAGAAGCACCCAGTTGGACAAAGGTCCTATACGGAGCACCTACCCTTTTTTGTTCAGTGGCAAAGCAATGATATATAATGCAGCCTAGCCTCTCTGGATCATGTTCTCAGCAGTATTCCTGCTGAAATCCTTCTGCTGCTGCTTTAACTTCTCCAGCCCTCCGCCAAAGACAAGAGTTTAATACAGCAGCAGTCTCCTTTAATTATTGCAACAATGCCAACAACCATTAATGTTTCTTCTGTTCCATTCACACCCATTATCATTTTACAGCTACATACCTTACCCTCCAGCTAGCTAGCCAGCCACAAAGGATCAAACACCGTCTCCAACGGATGAGACTGCATACAGTCCATTAGTTCATCGAAAGGTCATTATGAAGAAAGAAAATGGACTGACGAAAAGATGGGAAAAAAGCCTTTCAAAAAAAAAAAAAAAGATGGGAAAAAAAATGTAAAAAAGCATGGCAATTCTTCTATTATCAGAGATTCGTATCAGTTCTCACAATTTCATTTCTTTTCCATAGGGTGATAATGCCAAATACCATATTATCACAATAAGCCTAAGCATTAGGCTTTGGTTCCTGTCTTCCAAATCGATTACAACTTATGACTACCCAAATATGCAGGTTATATCATAAATTGTGTATATATATAGGTTGGGCATAATATAGAAGATGAATTTCAAATCAAGAACCTATAACCATATACATACGCACTGTTATATCATAAATTGTCAACACTTTCGTGGAAGGTCATGAATTTTTCCATTCGGCGAGAAAAAGTGTCAATGCCATTTGAGCTCTACACATGGATTTTAGTGTAAAGCTCAAGACATCACGTGTAGGATGTGTACATTGGTTCAAGCCACCTTCCCTGATCCATCGGAACTCACATGCTTTACAGCAGTTTTAATAATAATCATGGGATCCCAGAACATGCACATAGAGGAATTGATTGAAAAGCACTGAGTAATTACTTCGTAAGCAGCAAGGAGGAATGGACTTTCAAAAATAAAGTGCTTTCTCAGCGAAAACAGAATTAAAAACAGAGCTAATACAAACACAATCTTATTTTACAATGAAATTCACAATAGCCACATGTTACCAGACGCGTGGACATCTACCAATTTACGTACTTAATAGAAAACGATCGCTAGATATGAGTTGTTTTAGCGTTGATAATCATTTTAGAAAGCTAATAAACACATGAAAAGAACATAAGGATAGCCTATAATGTTTAAGAATCAATCTTTACCATATATTTATCTTGAGTCTTGAGAAAGCTACAACCACAAAATCATCAATTCATTGGGAAATAAAGGCCTTGCTGAAAATATATTGTTCCTTAGAAATTTAATCAAAGGATTAGTCTTTACCAAACATATTCAGAAAAGTAGATTGCTGAGACTTTGATTTTACCTCTTGGCTAAAGGGAATTAAGAAAGTACTCTATTGATCAAACTAGAAAATGTCAAAATTCCTAGTTAAAACTTAGAAACTAATACTGGATTGCGGTAGGGGTGAGTCAATTCTATGATAAATTTGGCGAGATAAAATATCAAAATAATATAAATAAAAATAAAAATATTGTTTTTCGTTCGGACTAACAAAATAAAATATTTTCTTGGACTAATTGATAAAAATAACCACAATATCTTCGTCTAACTTGTGATATTCTTGTCATTTTCATTCCGCACAAACATTTTATTCTTCTAGTCTAATTGAAAAGATCATTTCTGAGAAGAAGAAAAAAAATGATGCCTACCCATTATTGTTCTTCAAAGGATGTTTGGTAGTAGGTTTGGTCAAAATTTCCCACAGAATTAATTATAGATCTACCATTAGCTCCTTCTTTGGAACAATCCTTTTGACTCCAAACTATATAAAAGTCACATTAAATTTTATAGATTACTTGATAAATGTTTTTAATGTCTTATTAATTATCAAATATAAATTATACCGCTATCACGTTACAATTCTTTATTATCTACCTTTAAATTATACCTGTTTAACAATATATATATATATAAAAGTGGCTTTAAATGAATGAACACACAGTAACTAAAAGACAAAAACTGTATCAATTGGACTATAATTCTTTCAAGGTCAGTGCCATTAGACTTTTTTTACAACAAAGAGGTATACTTTGGAGTTGATACCTGCCAGGGAACGTCCAGTGAATGTTGGATATGGAGCCCAAGCACAGAGGAGGAAAGCCTTTTGAAACCGATTTCCTGTTCTCTGTGTCGGATATAGAATTCTACCAAATCCACAGTTGTATGGAAGCAGAATAACGGAACTTTTGAGATAGCAGGCAACAGCAAGGTCTCAAAATGTGGGTTTGCTCTAATGTTTAGGCTAATCGTTTGGGAAAAGCCATTTTGAGTTATAGGCTGCAAACATAGCAAATTGTTGTACCGAATTACCCTGTTTAAGGACCTGCTTTCTCACATTCTGCTCCATTTCAAAGTATTCGGTTTTAATGTTTTGGGAATGGTTTTTTTTTTGGTGTACTGCACTTGAAAACATTGGTTCTGAAGTAAAAAAAAAAGACAAAAATGCCATCACTGAATCTTTATACATCTCTTAAGGGTATTTTTGTCTTTTCATATCTTAAACTGATATGTTTCAAATGCAGGGTGGACTGTAAAAAAATATTCTTGTTACTTTATTATGTTATTGTCAATTGTATTTCAGAGTAATTGATTGGAATGAGCTAGTTCTGTTTTAGGTTTTAGCAATTCTTTGTGCATCCCACCTGTTTGATGAAAATCTCAAGTGAGTGTCTATTGTTACAGAACGAGCAAGGCTTGCTGAAATCCAACCAGAAGAAAGAAACAAAGATGAAAAGCATCAAAGAATGCTTCTTATCAAAGAAGATATAACAAAATAAATGCAAGTCATTAAGTCAGTGCATGCTGCATATCTGGAACTGCCAACAACTCTCAGTTTATTGCATTACATTTCTTTCTAATAGCACCTTGGTTTCCAGTTAGAACCCCAGAAATGGAGAGTTTCACAAAGGCAGAAGAGAAGGCTTGAAAGAAACCATCCTGATCGCCAGAAAAACGTTCCATGACCCGAGCGGTTCCTGGGTCTAACACCATTTCAGCATCTATTTTCAGTACTCCCTTACCTCCCAGTGCATTTATGTAATATTGATTATCAAAGACAAATGCGGTAGGATCATTGAGGACAAAGCTTAGGTTTGAGGTCAAAGATCCTGCAGGACAATTCAACCTCAAAAATGCAGCAAAACTGGGTTCCATCACTCCAGTCTTATCTCCACTGGGATTGTACAGCCGGTTCAGGAGACTTGAACAATGTGAAATTCCTAGAGTGTGGGCACCTGCAAACATTAATTAAAGATCATTATTCTGTAATTACTTCAAGGCTGCAGATTTCAAGTTATGTGTTTAAAGGATTTGAGGTGATACCCAAAATGGCAACAGATTCTTCAAGAGTCATTCCTTTCTTGGAGAAAATTTCAAGCATTTCATCAACTCCAGTTGTTGGAGAAGGCAGCATAGCATCTGCAAGCTCATAGCTAGGGGTAGCGGAGGAATCTTTCCGTCCCAACGGAACCTCTATCCATGGCCCTCCTGTCATAGCAACAGCCTCGCGGGCAACCAGTATGAGAATGTCAGCGCAAGAGACTTGCTGTGGGCACTGTGCTTCTACCATTGATTTCACTACGCTTATCAACTCCCTCTTAATGATTCCAAAGTTCTTAGATGAATGCATCTCCATTTGCAGGTTTTCCTCACTTGGATCAACTAGAATGGATGCATCACAGCCCTGTGACAAAACTCGAAACATCAAACAACATGAAGGCCTAATACAGAAAGTTTTAGATTCCTGCTTGTGTGCTAAGGCTGGAAAGAAGATCAATACTTGTGGAAACTGATTTTTTGGCAGAACTGAGTTAAAGCACTTCTAACTCAAGATTGTAAACAAGTTATGATACTATCAGCTACTGAGAGAAGAGGAAAAATGAAGACCTGAACTTGACAGTCATGGAACATGAGCCTTAACAAAGCTGCAGGAGCAGCAGGATCCTTAAGAAATGTATTTTGAAGCCCAGCTTTTACAATGTCTTCAACCTGTGGGCATGACTTCTCATAGAAATCATAAGAGAGACCATCTCCATCAACCCCAAGCCTAAACAGAAGCACCAAGACTATTGAAACTATGGTTTTCATAT